TTATGGTTCCAGGTGGAGTAATGCTACTACAAGAAGGGCAATGAATATTCAATAGGTATTTTTTTTTATTCCTGGTGGAGCTATGTTTGTAGAGGTTGTCTCAAATATTTAGCTCAAAAGCAAAGAGTTAAAAGGTTACATAAATCACTGATGAATCTGATTCATGGGAGTTCTGTGTGCTAGGAAGAAAACAAACCAAGAACAAGTGGTTATCAATGGGATTCAGTTCAACGGGGTGATAATCTGGTGGCAAAAGGCATGGTGCTGATTTGGTTGAAGCTGGATGTTGGTAAGTGTTATACAGAAATGGATTGCATGCTGTCATAAAAGCGTTGCATGTTTCTGAAATTTTTTAGAGAAAAGACACAAAGTTGTGGTTTGATATGAAGTTAGTGAAGTGGTTCAGTTGGTTCTTCAAAGAAGAAATTGAAAGAGACAAGTGTGGGCGATGCAGGAGCTGGCTCGTGGTTACTTACTTCAAGATGGGACATCAAACTACATTTAAGAGGAGAACAACTTTGGAGACTAGAGTTGCTTGTTTGCATCATGAGGAGATATGTAAGTATCTTCCTAGGGAATACACTTGCGGGTCAGTCAAGTGGACTATCTTCAAGTATCATGTGATGATAAAGAAGAATAATCTCTGGTTTGGGTCTGGAAATYGAATGATGCAAGATCCAAATTCGTTTGGGTGGAGGTTGCATACAAGAAGAAGTATTGAAGGTTGTTCTTTATAGCTTGAAGAAGACATCAAAGGTTCTATAGTTGATGTGCAAGTTGCTGTAAGGATGTGTCTCAGGAATATCACAAGGATCTAGTGATAAGAGACGTTCTAAGGTTGCTAGTAGTGGGTTATCAAGCTGCTGGTGTGTTTTGTTTTAGCAAGATGATTGAGCATGGGTTATGTTCTGGGATTGCTTGCTTAAACAGGTTAGTGAGGTGAATCTCAGATGGTGTAAGCTATTGGTGAGATTGATTACAAGTTGAGTCAAAGAGCTTCAGGTTCGAGGCTAATATGATTCGGATATTCTGCATTTGATTCAAGTGATTTCGAAGGATTTTGATCTCAATGGCCATGAGGAAATCCTAGAAGCTACAAGAGAATCAATTTTTTGCAGAGGTTTATTGGTATTTTCAGTCACTGCAACAGTTCTGTGGTGTGGATAGAAGCCATGGAGGATACTGTGTGTTATGTTGAGTTAACAAGTTGGAAGTCTTCCATCCTTGTTAAGTGGTTTTGCTGAGCTGTTATGTCATGTATTCAAGTGTTGAATACATGAGAAGGTGATCGCTAAAGAGTTGAGCTCAATACACGTTTGGATTGCAGTTGGTTTTCACAACTCTAGTGAACTCAAGATGTGTTGATGGCTCAGGTTCAGCGATGTGATTAGTTACAGCTGAAGTGCATTGAACGTAATGTTAAATGCAGTAAGGATC